CGACTGTTAAAAGAGAAAGTTTTAGAAGTAAATATTCTACTAAATTCACAACTTATAATTTCAAATAATGTAGCATACAAATAATTAGCACTATTTTTAAACGAAAGTGATGGAAGTCTTTTTATTATATTACTTCTAAACCTCTCCAAGCGATGTTCATTTATTGGAACAAACACAACTTTCTTATTTTTCTGTTTTTTGTGTATGTAAGGTAGTGATACTAACTGTCCACAGTGATCTGAACTCAAATTTTGAATAATTGATTTATGCAAGGGCTTAACATCTGTAAAAATGTTATCTATACAGGTCGCACTAGGCCCAGCAATACGTGTTGGTTCTAAGAATAAATTTACAAGATTATACGATTTAAACAATGAGCTAAACTTAATACTAATGGAAGAAGTTTCAAGGAGATTGATATTAAAGTCTCCACACATTACAACAGACTTGTTCTGTTTACTAAGTTTGAGTAAAACTTCTTCCACAATCCTTTCAAAATGGTCATAAGTAGCACATGGGGGTCTGTAAACACTTACAACAATGAGGTGCTCGAGCTCGACACAAGCCATTTCTACAGTTCGTTCAACAGAGAGGCTCACAATATCCTTACGTTCTTTATATAATAATGATTTATCTGCTAATATTAAGGAGCCACCACGTATAAACTTTTTTCTCTATTGAAGGAACTGACCACCTGGTGATTTCTGAAATTAAACATGAAATTATAATCTTTTAGCCAATGTTCAGTAATACAAAGGATGTGTATATTGTTACTATTTAAAAACAATTCAACTTCCAATTCTTTGCCCAACATGCCTTGTATATTTTGATGCACCAGGTGTAAACAATTTTTATTACTTATTTGTGGGCTGTATTCAAAATTAATTAAACTCTTATTATTGCTAGAGATTGCCTCTATTGTCACATTCACTAATTTAAATTAGTTGGAACTGATTCCAAATTAAATGTCAAATGATTTTGCTCAATAAAAGCAGTCTTGGTAGCCAAAAACTTGGCTGAGTTAAAAAGTAAATAATAAGATAGCACATTTGCTATCAGTCTTAAATTATATTTGGATAGGTAATACCTATCTTTTGTCCAAAACTTTTTTATTAAATTATTTATGTCAATTACATGAAATTTATGATTATTATCATTAGAATTATATGTCAAATTTAAATTATTATTAGATATTAAATTATGCATTTGTATATTTAAATTATGTCTTAAATTATTTTCTTGTGGCAATCCCTGTATATAAGGCAGTGTGAACAAAACAATTTTGTGTACATTTAAGTTATTAAGTTGTTCAATATATCTTAATAACTGTTTGTTGTTGACACTGCCTCTTCTACCAACAAAAATTATTATTGTACTATTTGGGCAAAATTTAGTAACAATAATTTTATTTAGGATGTCACTAAAAGATGCTCCAGGCATGCAGCAATTTGTAACTTTTTGTCCCTTTAAAGAGTTATTTAAAGTTATGCCTAGATTTTTTCCCATGTCATCGCTATAAACAATTATATTATTTTTAGTAATATTTGAGTTATTTATTATTTTAATATCCTCTGCTATGGCACTGTCATAGAGTTTTTGTGGTGGTATAATATTATCAGCACACACTGACTTTGAAGAATCTGGCATTGAGCGCTGACACTCACATTGATATTTAATTAAGGAGTCAAACCGCTCCTCATTATATTTACAAGTCTTTACCAGATTATCCATAGCCAATATGTGTTCTTTTATTTCATTTTGGGCTGATTTATATTTATTGGACACAGTTTGAAGGGAGTTCATAAGTGACAATATTTCTGATTTAAGGCACTCTATTTCAGTCTCATAACATTTTTTTATGTTATCCACCTCAATTGAATACAACTTAAGTTCATATAACAATGCTTGCTTTTCTTTACATACATTAACATAATTTTTGGTATTAATCTTATTTCTTATTAATTTTTGTACTTTCCTTATGTATTTATTAACTTTTATATACTTCTTCAATTTGGTTTTACTGCAATTAATCCTTACTGTATTTCCTGAAGTGGAAGAGTCGTCACCAGTCAAGTCTATTGTTGCAGATTGCTGTAACATTCTTGAAGTATCACATTGCACAAGCTCAGAGAACAGGCTTTGAGTCTGGGAGGCTTTAAGGTTATCTATATATGTTTTAAATTGTGTTATTTGCTCATTAGCCTCATTCAACTGTAACTTCAATGCAGCAATTAACCTGAGAGCTTCCTCATATTCCTTGCTGCATTGATCAAACTCATTAACCGTTCCCTGTAGCTGATCTCTTTCTTTTATAACACTTGTGTATTCTGTATGTAGCTTAACCATATCACATTTCAATTGTGTATTTTTGGCAATTATGCTAACTATTTCCCTTTCATTATCATCCCTTTCCTTAAGCAACAGTTCACACTGCTCCCTGGACGCCTTAAGTTCTTGGAGCGCAAGCTGGAGTTGGTTCTCCATCTGGCGCGTCTTGGCGTTGCGAGTATTCATTTTACTATTTATTATAAATAATAAAAGAAAACAAAGATCGAAAATAGAAGGAGCAGAGTAAGCTAATGTAAAGTTGTTGTTTTTTTTTCTATTTACAAGTCTCAAATCAAATTATCGTTAAAACAATTCGAAAAGAAACCCGCAAAGAATGTAATAACCCGAGTAATAGAATAAATCTTTAATTTATAAAAGGAATGATATGAAATAAGGATTACAATAATTTTTAAAACAATGTTCGTTACCTGTCACTTTTTGTTCCAACACCAAATTGTTGTTATAATATTTATGTACCAACTTTCTTAAACATTAAATACAAAGCGGCAGTAATTATTAGCTATAACATAAAATTGAGGTGGATATGGTGAATTTACAATATTTAAATTATTAAAATTTATCGGGACCAATTACTTTTACAACTTATAACCAGGGTTGCCACAACAAAAAAAAAAAGATGACCTTATCACAAAAATTGATAAGGGCGTGCTTCGGTGGTTTGGGCACGTTGAGCGAATGAGTGAAGACCGAATGGTGAAGAAAATATATAGCGTGAAAGTTAATATTAAAAGGTGTCGAGGTAGACCGAGACTAACTTTCGAAGACCATGTGAGCAAATTGCTCGAAGAGGGTAGGGTCAAAAGTACTCGGATACCTAGACGTGCATGCATGAAGAAGATAATGAATCTGAAAGAAGCGAAAGAGGTTTGTAAGGATCGTGACACTTGGCGATCTGTTCTCTCTGGCTACCCCGTCAGGGATTGTGCGTGAAGATAAGTAAGTAAGTAAGTATTCTATTCTATTAAAAATAAATCCTTATTTATCCGGTTCGAAGGACCAAAATGTCAACACTGAAATACTATTACTAATAAGCTATATTATATAGGTCATAACTTTAAAAATTCTTGTTTGAAAAACATTACATTCAAATATATAAAAAGAATCTATAATTGTCAAACATATGCACCCAGACTCAAGTTCTCAAAAAAATGTTTATAGGATAAGGCTGACAAACGAGCACACAGATCCAGCTTATGGTAAGTGGTTGCTGCGGCCTATAGATATCTACATCTATCCTCCGGTCCTCTACACTCACCATACGAAATACAGCAGCGTTCCGTTCCGTTCCTTGGGGGAGAGATTCTCCGCTGCATGCATATTGTGTGTGTTTTCTGTGGTTATGGCAGAATCATCAGCGCTGTAGGTTACCCTGCAGCATTACGCTGAGTCATAACCTTTTCACTGGCTCGATACACTCTTGTAATTTTAATCTACCATACTTTTAACTTTTTATTTTTTATTTTTGTGATGTGTACAGTTCCAGTGAATAAATATCTTTCTTTCTTTCTTTCTTTCTATTGTCCAGCACAAAGTAAGCGTACTTTCAACGTAATAGAGCCACGCTGCAGCTATATTATGATTATAGCACAAATGGATCGGCCGTTCGGGGTAGGAGCATGCTCTCACAAGTAATCTTGTTAACTGACGTAAATTATACATTTTATGTAGATTAACGTCATGTGACTTCTATTATCTTAAAAATATATCTAGATAGCGTAGACAAAGTACTGGAGGAGTAACATTTTTAAACGATCATAAGCCGGTGGTTGACCGCTATCCCCCTGATGGTAAATGTTGATGCAGCAGAAGTTGTTAACAGTAAAAACGTAAAATAAATGTTTGACCATTTTTTTTAATTATACGTGGTGGAGCCATGCATGCCGCAGCTATATTACTTGTATAGTTTTAGCACAAATGGGTCGGCTCGACTTTCATAGTATACCGGCGTAAAATAGCAGCTTAATGCTGCTGTGTTTCGTATGGTGAGTGTATAGAAACCGGTGACCCTTTTTACTGGAAACGAGGCATTCCATTATAGCCCTCAGGAGTGACAACGCATCCGTATTTTGATTCTTAATCGAGGATAAATGTAATATCTATGGGCCACCCCATCCACTTACCGTCAGGTGGACTGTGTGCTCGTTTGCCACTCTTATTCTATAAAAAAGTGCGACAATCTCTGGACAAAAAAGTTATTTTATTTAAAACGTTTTTACTTATTATCTGGAAATAAAGGATCTAAATAAAATGTAGGCGATGAAGAATCTAATTCAATAACATGCCTTTCATGTTATTGAAAATATTATAAGGTTATTTCAATTGTCAAAGTTTTTTCCAGGCCATTAAATTATATTTTTTTACCTCGATTAATATAAAGTATTTTAAAAATCTATTTGATTAAGAATTTGAGTTTTTCATGCATGCGCAAATTTTTTCTGAACATAATTATACTATGTCAAGATGTATTAATTCTCGCGTGTCAAAATCGTGTCTAAAATACGAATTTACGTCTAAGTTGACCTTATTCTATAGCGTTCTTTGAAGTTAGCTACAGGTATCCAAGGGAAGTGCTAGACAGATTATTAGTTTTTTGTTACATAAATATCAATAAAATATTCAATGTTTTGTGAAAGCGTGCGCTTACATCTCACCGTTTTCACGTTGATCTGGTTGTATGGCATCAGCGACAGCATCCGCGACTCCTTCTCGTACGTGCAGTACTGCTTGCTCCACGTCGTGCCGAACGCCTCTGCAATCACAGTTAATTGTTCAAAGTTTAAGTCTACTAGCGGTTTTTCATTTTTAAAACTAAAGTTGTTTGAAGTCAGTTTATACTTTTTAATACAGGTTTAATTTTTATCCCCAAAAGTTGAAGGTACTCCGGGTTAACTTTGACATCGGGACGTCGAACACCTCGGTCCAACCGTGATCATGGGTGCTACAAAGCAACGTCGGAAATTAAAAATAAGTATAAACAAACACCTCAGCCCCCCCCCCCCCCCTTTCCATGCTGTAAAGCTTCCGAAACGTCAGGAATTTAAAAGTTAAGAATTAACGCGATTTAATCCGTAAAATTAGTTTCATTTAAATAAGAAATTAACTACAATTTTAACTTACTTTTCTCCATGAGGAACAGGTAACCGGCTCGCGATACACCACCGCCATCGTCCGATATCTCTTCCTCTTTGTTCTGATTGACATGCAAACATGATAATATTTAAATAGTATATTTGATTTTTTACCTGATCATTCAATATTATACTTGAATTTTAGGTTTACATACAAAGCTTTTAGCGTATCTGAAATAAGTTATACTCTATTATTTCTGACGAATACGCTTAGTTTGCAAACTTTGTATTCTATAGAATGTTGTGGGTTTTGTTAGCTGAGTTCTCATGGGAAGACCTACACCAGGGTCGAGTCAGGTAATTCAGCATCAATACTTCGCGGCTGGCAGTCGGGCATATACCGGAACCTTTAATAATTCTTACACACATTCTTACAGCCTATTAAAGTTCACTGCTGAACATAGACCTCCCCAATAGATTGCCTCATGGGGGGAGGGGGATATTTGCAATAGTTGCCACGCTTAGCAAGCGGGTTGCCAACCGCTATTTTTAGTCGTTATTAGGAAGAAAGATGCTGTTGTTCAAAGATGTCGCCTCTTACGACACCCACGGGATGATATGGGGTAGTGGATAATCTTACACGGTAAAAAATTCCTTACCTTTAAAGTTAATTAAAGTGTTTCATCCTAACAGTAATATTTTTTATTTTAAATACTATTTTTCAATGCCATATAACAATACGTTTAATGCACTTGCAACTTTAATAACATTATGTATAAAATCCGCCTATAAATATTATACAGGGTTGATTTTCAATAACCGCCAAATTCAGAGAAGTTTCAGAATAAGTAAAATAGGCAAATGGTGAAGAAAAATTAATTTTAAAAAACATGCGCGAGTGTCGTGGAATACTCGGTTGGAACGAAGTTCCTTATTATTGATAAACGTATTATATTATTTTTTATGCTCAAATTTGGTCATGTTGAACGCCATCCAATTGCGTTCGAGCTGTCGCGTCACCCGCTAGTATGTGAGATAAACGCCGCCAGGTGGGGCGGCGGTGTGCGGCTTGTGTAGCTCGACGCGTGGGCGAAGACGTGAGAGTTGCCCGCTGGCCGCGATGAGGGGAACCCGCGTAGCTCGTCATCGCGGCCGTAGTTCACGCAACCGTTGTAGGGTCCAGATGGTTAGATTAAGTGCGTGTTACTTAGTTGCGTGGATATATGAATTTTGCAATATTTGACTTGTTCGGGGATGCGAAATTGTGCACGCGCGCGTCGTGTAGATATACGGTCTAGGATTCGAACCACGCATTCCTTGTTCGAGAGCTTCTCCCGGTTGATTGTCAGGAAATCATTATAATTGTGCCGTTGCGTTAAGTGCCTCCTTTTGTGTGTTGGTTGGCTTGTTAGTTTACGTGTCAAAGAGGCTTATTTTGAATTCTTTTCACGACGTGGTGTTTTGGTGTCGAATGAAGGAACTTAGTTGTGTTTAACACTGAACCGTATGACTCATTAAGAGATCGCTGTAATTCCCTATTTATAATTTTGTGATTAGTGAATCCGGGACATTGAATGTCGAATTTTGTTCGATTCTCCGATGAATGTGGAGTTAGGCGAGTTAAAGTTGGTTAAATGTACAATGAAGCTAATAGACTGAAATAGTGACAATGAAGAAAGAAATGGTCGAGCGGTGGAGCCTGCTGGAGCGATGCAGCATTCTGGGGCATCCTGGAACTCGGCCGCTGCTGGTCGCCTAAGTTGGTTAAGATATCAGACATTTACACATCACTGAACACTACTTGCCATTCACCTTACACCCACTCACGGCCTGACCGTGCCTTGGTGCGAAGTTGGCTTCTGATACTGGTACGTACTATGTGTTTCTAGCATTCTCCCATATAGTTTATTATGATAGGACATTTCCATATAGCCATTCGGGCTCGACCCCGCGGCTGCCCGTTGAACCTTCCGCTCATGGGCCCCGGATATTAAACCTTTGCAAGGGCAGCTGCGGGCCGTAACATTATTGATTAACAAATACAAATAAATGAATTACTAGCGTATGTTAAAATGAAGCGTCATTTAAAATAATATTTCTTTCATGGCAAGATAAGAAAAAGTGCGAGGGAGATGGATATTATTTCATCTCGCTCGCACTACAGAAAGGGGGTCGTGACGGAAAAATCTTACACTTTTTCTCGCCTAGCCAAATTCGTACCCGTGCGATAATGAACTTCGTTCCAATAAATCACAAATATTCTGTACTTTTTATCTTTTAAATTCTAGTAATGCATTCTTTTAACCGATATTACTGCACACGCACATATTCGTAAGGGTCTATCGGGAGTTCGGGAGGCGAAAACGTTGTTGCCCATAAATCACATTCAATTTGGGATAATTTCAAATGAAAGTAGAAGCCTTATTCGTATTGTCAAAAACTGCGATAATAATAATATCATTATTTACATATTTCAACTTAAGTTTAAAATTTGGCTACTCTTTAGAAAGAGACTATCGTCTATAATCGTCTTTGTAGAGCGTCGTCTCTTTCGCACGAAATACCTATGAGAACATATTAAGAACTGAAAAACAATAATCTGCTCTGTAAAATAGTATATTTATCGACTCCATATTATATATATACTTACTCCGTCTTGCACAAAGAAACTATCACAACTACTGACAAATCCGCAATAAAGCGTCAGTGGCATATCAATGACAGTCACATATTTTTTTTTTAAAGCCTAGTAATGTTATTAACATTACTAATATTCCCTTTAACTAGGTACTCCTGGTAAGATTAAAATGCTTGCGTTAAGAGTGGTTCTCGACACTAACCGAATGTAGGATTCAAACCCATGATCTTTTGAATTCGCGGTCCGCACCCTACCATTAGGCTACTGTCGCTTCGTCAATACTCTACAAAGCCGAAGCTGGCCGACTGTAGCTCTTTCTAAAGTCTTCCTAAGTTTAGGGCCACAAATTAAAATAGTTTAAAAGTAATTCTATTTACAAACACTAGATGAGCATGCATCGAAGTAAGCCCAACTCAAGCCTCAAAAATATTATAAATTATAATGAATTAAGCGCGATATTGCAAGATGATAATTACCCACCATTTGCCGCACTTCCATCATTTTCTTCATAAGCGATTCCGTCTGTTTACTTGTCTCCTCGAAGTTGCTCCGCGTCTGCAAGCAAGCGAACAGTCACGTGCCGCCCACACACATACACACGCGCACGCATACGCACGAACACGCACGCACATACGCAACATGCGACAAACGCACTCGCACTCTTGCAAACTGTTACGTAGTCATTCTTAAAAACAATGCAAAATCACAAACAAGTGTGTTAGGGCAGTACACATAAAACAAAATGTTGTGTGTCAACTTAGCGGCACTGCAAATCAAACTTTCAAGGTGTTAGTGGTCGTTAAAGAACACTCAAACGCAATCTGTCGCAACCTACGCGCCGAGCGATGGGTGTGTGGTACAGCGACCGTCCTGCGCGACCTGCGACCATATCATTATGTTGAAATGAAAAATATTTGGAAACATAATGACTTTTATCTATACAAATAAATAAAATTGTGTCAAATAAGTGTCTGTTTGTAATGTCAATCTTTGTACTAAATGCAATCAAAAAAACATCGTAATTTCAATAGAGAAGATGGCTGGGTGCTACCATGTGCTTGGGATCCCATAATTAATAAAATTAATTCCCAACCCAAGCATACAACTGCAAGACTTCATGACACTATAAGTTCATACTGCGTAGATCGGAACAAAAATTAATAATTTTTAATCTGGAGGTAGCCGTGGTTAACTATGATATTGGGACGTCATACACCTCAGTCCCCCCCGTGACCATGGGTGCTGTAAAGTGCTTGAAACGTCGGGAATGTAAAATAAGTTAATATACGCGATAAAATCCGTAAAATTAGTTTTATTTAAATGTGTAGTGTTCGCGTAAATATAAGAAATCATTAAGTATATACGGTACTTATAACAGAAACACAATTTTTAATATTTTTGTCCGTCTGTCTGCTTGTTTGTTCCGGGCAATCTCCAAAATGGCTGGACCGATTTTGACGGGACAAATAGCTGATAATATAAGGAGTAAGTTAAGTTACTGTATTCTATAGTTAAGCTTATTTATTATTTTTTTGGGTTCCGTGCAAAAAAAATTACAACCCAAAACTACACGCGAGCGAAGTCGCCGGAAACAGCTAGTATATAATAAAAACTGTAAAGGCTTTGAAGATCACGTGTCAGTAGAAGGCTCCAGTATGCATGGACATCTGCAGTCAAAAAAAAAATCAACACAAAAAAAAGACAACAGCATAATGCTGAGTCGTGCTTATTTCAGCATCCCGTCGAAGATCGGAACACAAATTAATAATTCAAAGCTGAAGGTAAACCAGGTTGACTGTCACCAGGACGTCCAAAACCTCAGTAACTCGTGACTGTGGTGTTGCAAAGCACTCGAAACGTTGAAACGTTGAAATAAAACAAGATAAAATGCATAATACGCGTAAAATTAGTTTTATCCACTTAATATGGATTATCATGTCGTCTCTTCGAGGCATAACAAGATTTACAGAGCATTTCAAATTCCTTCAGAGACCATTTACTATTTCGCTACAAGTATTAACAAATTGGAATTCTTTGTGCGAGTACTACAAATTGAATGAAACCAATTTTACGGATTTTATCGCGTTTAATTTTTACTTAATAATAATATCCGTAAAATTACTTTCCTTCAAATTTGATACCCTTGCATGTTATTTTCTCCCTGCAGTACCTTGAATTAGACCAAACAAAGAAAGACAACACTACGTACATAAGAAGTGACGTCCAAATTATACACATCTTAAAGTTTGAGAGCACGCGTCAGTGCGTGCTCTCAAACTTATGCACGTAAAACCATGCCGTTGGTTGCAAATGGTTTCAGGCGCATACGTGTGCGTAAATTGTGCGTGTTCTTGCAATAAGTTGAACATAGTTTCGGCATGACTTGACGTGTACGTTGTGTTTTGTCTATCTTCTTTGTTGGTCTTAGGATAAAACTATACGGTCTTATTACGAAGTAATCTCAGGTACAAGAGACTTTGTCTCGAAAGGAGTCACTGAGCCCCAGCGCCATAGTCTTCACGGAATTTGATATTTGCCAGTTTTATACGTGGTAGAGCCAAGCTGCAGCTATTTTTGATTTATTTATTTAAACTTCGTTGCATAAAAATGTACAAAGGTAGACTTAATGCATTAAGGCGTAAATATTTTTGGTGCAACTGTGTTATTGTTGTAGCACAAATGGGTCAACTTGGGAAAAACCACGCACTCACATAATACCAGCGTAGAATAGTAGCTTAATGCTAATGTGTTTCGTATTGTGAGTTTAGAGAACCGGAGACCCATTTTATTAGAAACGAGGCATTTCATCTTTGTCCTCAGGTGAGACAGCGAATTTTGCATCTGCATCTTAATCGATGATAGATGTAGGTGTCTATGAGCCATAGCGTCCACGTACCATTAGGTTGACTGTGTACTTCTTTATCACCCTTATTCTATAAAAAAAATCTGAGCTTAATTATGTTAAGCATTATTTTTTTATAACTACACAAATACTGGACATTGAATAAAACTAACTTTATGGTTTTTATCGCGTTTAATAGTAACTATTTTACTTATTTTTAATTTCCGATGGTTCGGACGCTTTACAGTACGTTCGTTTTACGTACGTTTTACGGTCACGTACGTACGTTGTGTAGTCTATTAATCTGATGTAAGACGATCTTGAACACGTTCACAGATTGTAGAATTCCATACTTATTTCATACTTTACATTTTAGTTAGCATATTTTCTACTAGACAGGTTTGTCGAAACAGACTCTGGAGAGGGAATAGCTAATTTGCATGCATCACTGCGACTTGTAATATCTATTGTGAACGCAGCTATGGCACTGCTAAGCCCTGTGTCTTCAATGAATTGGAGGAGTTGCTTAGCTGTGAACAATTTCACTTCCCAGTTGCCCCAATGAATATTACGTTTGCGCATTAAGGGTCCACAATCAGTCAGGATGTGCAGAAGTGTTTCTGTCGTTAAGGAATAGAAGCGGCACATCCTTGAGTTATTTAATCCCAGGATGGACATATGATTTTTTAGACAACAGTGTCCAGTCAGGGCTCTTGCCAGAATACGTAGTTTATTCTTGCTTAAACCCAGGGATACTGAAGCGAATTGACGATCATAAGCCCGGAATAAAGAGTGAATGGCTAACTCACCCGCTGGATTCGAAGCTGCAGGTCTCGGACGAGCGGCTCGGCGTCCGCGTGCACGTCGTGCGCCGTGTGGTGGAAGGTCCACCAGCCGAACACGAAGCCGAGCAGCGTCTCCACCAGCTCGAACTTCTTGCGCTCCTGCACCGCCTGCAGCTGGAACACGTACTCCAACGACGCCTGGCAGAAGTCGCGCTCCGCCATGTCCATAGCGGCGTCCGCCTGCAATACGCACGTCAATGAGTACTAAACATTTACCGCTCACCAGATGTCGTGTTAGGCGGCGTTCAAATATTACGTAACGCAATTTGGGGGGAGGGGGGTCTTGTAAAACGTTACGATGCGTTACAGGGGGCGGGAGGGGGGTTCTAACAACGCGTTACGTAACATTGTTTTTTTATTTATATAAAAAACTGGGAAAATAAAATCTCCCACGTTGGCAAACCTTTTCGTGTATGTTTTGCGGGGAATCCCTCGACTGTATTGTACGTCATTTTTATTTTGTTTTCGTTGTCACTTGTCAGTATTCGTTATTATTTACTTACGCAGAAGCACATTGTTGTAGTCAGTGTTTTAATATATTTTAAAATTAAGCACAAGTTTTAACATTGTGTGATTGTTTATTAAATGACAATATGAATAAATTAAATGAACAATATACGCATGTATTAAGAGATTGAGATGACAAATCTCTTGTTTTATTTATTATTACCACAAACGAGATTAAAACAATAACAGAGGTATTTTCGCGACTTTCCGGTACTTTGCGCGACATAATTGTGACTTTTAGGTAAAATTGATCAGTTGGGTGTTACGTAACGTTGAAGGGGGGGGGGGGGGGGGGTTACTGTTAAATAGTGTCATCATAAATGAAACAGATTTTCGCCGAAGGTGAATTTTATGGTCAAAGGTGAGACCTGTCGGATACTAAACATAAGTGAAAATTGTATGGCACATTTCAACTGTCTTTTAGTCAATTTTTTTATTTTCAGGAGTATTAATGATTTGCTTTATACATGTTAATCTAATTAATATATAACTAATATGTCAGAAAGAAACATTCCACTTTATATTTTCTAACAAATTAACTTCCCCTCTAAGATATTTATTATTTAACCTAATTTAAAAGTGGCGCCGCTGCTCTGATGGCAAAAAGTCGTGGATGTCGTGGATCATTCATCTAAATTATGTATAATAGCCGTACCGTTTATGAGCTAAACGTACTCCGTAAATATCATAGAATGCGAGCAACTCGGCTTCGATCACCGCCGGCACCAACAAAATTGTCAATTGCAATTTAAGTGCTGATTCACAACGTGCTCGGCAGTGAAGGAAAAGTATGAGGAAAGTATTTTCATGACATTTAAAGTGCGCCTAAATATGTGTCTGTATCATTTAGATTTTTTGTAATCTTATCAAATTACTAGCTGTTCCCCGCGACTTCACCTGCGTGGAATTTATTGCGATTGGATTTCATGGCTTTTAATTTTTTTGCGCAGAACCCCAATTCTTTTTCTAAAATAAAAGTAGCCTAAGTTACTTCTTATAACATCAGCTATCTGCCAGTGAAAGTCCCATTCAAATAGGTTCACAGGTTTCTTCGTGATGCGTGTTCAGACAGACGTCGTGTTAGTTTTATTATAGTAATATAGAATAGATATAGGTATAGAAAGATAGATTATTTCTTTGGCATATTAAAATAAATAATATTTTATAGCAAAGCTCGTTACAAAGTTTAACAATACTAGTGAACTGGGGTGCTATGCACTACATTTTAGTCATTTCCGCTATTAACTAAGTAAGGTTCCCAGGTTCGAATTCCGGGTCAGACCAAAAAATCAGTTATTGAGATTTTCTGTCGAGAAATTCTCAACAGCAGACCGGATTCAGGAAGTTGGCAGTGTTTCAACCCCGTGTCTCGGAAGGACGTAAGGCCGTTGTTCTGGCGTCTGGCTTCCTCTGGTCGTGTCGGTTTGGTGCTCCATCGGACTATCAGTGGGAAGAAATGGACATGCACCTGTGCTAGCGTATACACTCGGGTACTATAATCCTGTCCTGCACAGATGGCTAGTCTCCGTTGAGACTGGCCGCCGTGACCGAAATTCGGTCAGCAGGACAGGCTTGCCGGCATGTGCATTCTTGTAACGGCTTATGGCTAGCGGTGAAATAAAAACTAGTGCTATATAATTGAAAATTGTTTTTTTTTTCTATAGGATAGGGTCACAAACGAGCACACAACCCACCTGATAGTAACAGAATACTGTGACACATAGACATCTACATTTATCCTCGTTTGCGAATCAAAATGCTGATGCGTTGTCAGCCGTGAGGACAGACAGAATGACTCGTTTTCAGTAAAAAGGGTCTCCGGTTCTGTACACTTACTATACGAAACACAGTAGAGTAAAGAGCGTGGACGGGCTGCATTTTTTCCATACAAATGTATTCCCTTATTCTCTCTTCCTGGATAATGCCTCTAGAGAAATCGTTTATGTTTATAAAAAATCTAGATCTATGAAGGCATGCCCCTGTAATTTTTTTCCAAAAAATTATTACAAAAATAAATATAACTTTCCAAAAAACCTAAATTATGCCCCGTTTTTACCTGCGTAATCAGAGGATTATCAAAGAAGTTTGAAGAGTTTTTAAGATAAAAACAAGTGATAGAAGCATAGATGTATTGTTTCTTTAAAGTTTGATATCAAAAATAATTTAATCGGCTCAGTTTTCGAGGAGAAAACAGGGGAATACGAAACGTCGATCGGTCATGGTTTTTGTAGGCAAAATTGTTCTGAGCTGCAGTTGTTGTCCCTACCCTATCGCACTCTATGGAGGGGGGGGGGGGGCACACAATATATAGCGCGACGGCAATAGTTTCTTCAAATATCTAATTCTCAATTCCCGCGCAGACCGACTACGCTCTTAAGCCGCTATTTTACGCTGGTATTCTGTGAGAGCGTGCTCCTTCCCCGGTCGGGCCGACCCATTAGTTCTACATCTATACTAATAATATAGCTGCAGCATGGCTCTACCACGTATGTATATCATGGTAACAGATTCATACTTACTTCTTGAAAAACGGCCTCGGGCTTCTTCGTGGAGAGGGAGAGCGTGCGCTCCTGGCTCTGGCAAAACTTAGCAGTCTTCTTGTCGAATTTTTTCTTCCCTTCCTGCAAAGTAATAGTACACTTTCAGATTTCATTAACAACCAAAGCCGTATACCACTAACAACTTCTTTATTCCTTCAGTTATGAAAATACAATGTTTTCAGTTTGATTCCTTTTAACGTAAACAAAATTAAGTTTTTTTTTTTAATTGGAGACAGTTTACAAACATAAATTGCACAAGGACATACATCCAGACCCGGGACAATTATTTATAGGCGATACAAATACTTGTTCAGTGCGGGATTCGAAACCGCGACCCTCAGCGACATAACTCATTTCCAAGCCACTGCGCCACGGAGTAGTTAATGTGAGGTTTATAGTTAAGTAAATAACAATGGTTCTATCTCGCACAAATGCTAACATTAGTGATTCAGCGAGAAAACGCAGCCAGCGTTCTTGAACGATACCGTGAGAAGTAAGACTATATGACAATTTAACTAATTAGTTTTAGTTATTTTTATTAGGTTTTTAATATTGTATATATTTCAATGTTATTTAAATAAATATTTGAAAATTACAATATGTAATTAATAATCTGTAATACATGACTGTAATAAGAATTGCATTTTTAAAATTTCAAAACACAAGAGGCACGTTCGTGTCCGTTGTTAGTACATGGCTTACGCAATACTAAACTAACCATAATATGTGACTACCAAAATCAGCAAGTTGTTGTTATGCAAATTCGATTGCACACATCTCCGGACCGGAACTAATCGATTGTACAGCCTTCAGAGGATAACTGGGCGGCGTTTAGTCTAAGAAGTTTGATAGAAACATACTTACATACGTATATAGTATGTTTGCTCCTTGGATAATTCAAATTCAAATTATTTAAAGTGTTGTAGGTACCATCCATTATAGCCTATAGAAGTACACTGCTGAACATAGACCTCCCTCATAGATTGCCTCATGGGGGGATGATGCCATAGTTGGCACGCCTGGCAAGGTTGGCAACCGCAGTTTTTATTATTTTGAATTGTGATCAGGAAGATACGCTGCCCATCTGCTGTTTCATTTTCCCTCTGTCGCCTCTTACGACACCCACGGGACGATATGGTAGTGGGTATTCTTACACCGCCACTAGAATAGAATAGAATAGAATATTTTTTTATTCAATATCGATTATTACATAATTCTTATTGAAAGTCATTTTTATCCACCACTGGTTCGGAAAATACCTCTGTCCTGGGAAGAACCAGCAAGAAACCCAGCGGGACTTTTTTTTTTCAAACATAATTTCGTTTATACAATTTTTAAATTATTTTTCATAGAATACTACACACTACACGGTTTTTACACATTGTTGTATATTGTTGTACATTTGGTTGGTGTTAATTGACGTAATTGGTGTAATTTGACGGCTCCGTGGCGCAGTGGCTTAGCAATGAGTTGCTGCGCTGGGGGCCGCGGGTGCGAATACCGCACGGAACAATTATTTGTATGGCCTACAAATAATTGTTCCGGGTCTGGATGTTTGTCCTTGTGCAATTTGTGTTTCTAAACTGCCTCCACGATACAGAAAAAAATCCTAGTGTGGGGGTAACGTTTTTTTTTTTAAAAAATTATAATATTATGATAATGGCACTAAAGCAAGATATTTTTTACAATACATTCTACACACCGTCATGTTACTATATTTTTTCTATTAATCAATTATTTTAAAAACAAAAAACCATTGTTAAATTACTCAAATTGTTCAACTATACAAAAGTTCAGAAATCCACCAAACAAACGTAAAGAATTTAGACATAGATAGCCACAATCCTACTTATATTGATCTTGAAATAAAATTGGTTTTACAGTCTGTGCTGCAGCTGTCTCTATCGATTGTCTCACCTATACTTCATACGTCTTGCCGTCCGAATTTTCTCTTAAGTCACAGTTTTTTATAGAATAAGGATGACAAATGAACACACAGTTCACCCGTGCTGTCTCTATCAATTTACGTCAAAGTGACTGTGACATCATGAGACTTAACGGCGTCTTAAAATTGAGTGGCGTTTGTAGGCATTAGACATCTACATCTATCCTGGATTAAGAATTAAAATTAAGAACTAAGATAAAATGCCCCGTTTCCAGTAGTAAGAGCCTCCGGTTCTCTACACTCACAATACGAAACACAGAAGCATGAAGCTGGTATTTTACGCTGGTAGGTATTTTGTGAGTGTGCTCCTTCCCTGGTCGAGTCAACCCTAGAACCGTAATGTAGCAGTAGCCTATTTATACGACGTATAGAAAATACTCGGATATTTTTTTTACAGAATAAGGGTGACAAGCGAGCGCACAGCCCACCTGACGGTAATTGGATGCTGTGGCCTATAGACATTTACATCTATCCTCGTTTAATAATCTAATATACTTAGTGCGACGTAATGCTGTCGATTTTCTTATTGTGATTAAAGAGAACCGGTGGTTCTTCTTACGGATAAAGAGATATGTCATCTTAGTTCTAAACGATAGGATGTATGATGACTATGGACCATATCATCCACTTATAAACAGATACTCAACTGTCATTCTTAATGTTATATAACAACACTCCCTGATTTAAAAAAAAACTCTGTGACAGACTTCATTCAGATTTCATAAGCGTCCCGTTTCGCTGGATTTGTTTTGGAACATATAAAACTAGATAATGAAGCCTATCGAATCTTTATTTAAACGACTGAATATTTCCGCTACAACGACAAGTAATGTGCGCCAACAATTACAAGCTGGTGCGCCGTCCGGAATCAATTCAATCAAGCCAATTGAAAAATATGCGCGACGACATTTTCACATTAAAACCCAACTACATTGGATTTGACAACCGCGTCACAGCTTCGCATAGAGCTTGCTCATATCAGGTCAAGTTTATTCATCATGGCTATTCAAAATCCCATTGCTGAACATAGGCCTCGCCTGTAGATAGCTTAATAGTGAGGATATTTGCCATTCTTGGCAGCTTGGCATGCTTGGTAGTTATTACAGCCTATCAAAAAATCACTGCTGAATATATCTACTATCACATAGATTGCCTCATATTTGCCACAGCTGCTACACTTTGCGAGCGGGTTTGGCAACCGCAGTTTTTTTGTTTTCACTCAGCTGTTATCAGGAATATTCTTTTACCGCCACCACACGGTCCAGTTTGTATTAATTTGAGTTATTAGGAAGACTTTTTACTTCTGGTCACCTCGTTTCATTTCCTACAGACTTTAAAAAGGAGGAGGTACTCATATGTGTGTTACCTCATAACTTTTTTCTACGTGAACCGATTTCGATGATTCTTTTTTATTTGAAAGCTGATGCTTCTCATGTGGTCCCATATAAATTTGATCAAGGTCAGACCATTCGTTTTTGAGTTATCCTTAATAGTATATATTACAGTCGGTTGTACAAAATTTTTAATTTTAAATTACATTCTATCGTCTCTTATGACACAGGCGGGGTGGTATGGGGCAGTGCATGCACTCACGCCGCCACTGCACGGCACAAATATTGATAATCAATGAAAGTCGATGCTCACCTTGACAGCGCCGATATGCTCCTTGCGAAATCGCTCCAACGGTTGAATGATTTGCTCGTGCGCGCGCCCCAGCTGTAACAAAAGTGAGCCATGAACATTGACATTCAGCCTACGTTATTGCAATGGACAAGGTTACATAAATATAATGAGTGTCGTATTTACTATGCCAGGAGTGGACCAAAATGCCCCACTGAAATATTCCATCAAGCACAATCCCGAGCCACTTGCTAGATGCATAATTACTTGCATTTAAAAATTTTAATATCACGTTCTATTTTATAAAATAAGGCTGACAAACGATCACACAGTTCAACTGATGTTAAGTGGATGCTGAAGCCCATAGACATTTATCCTCCATTTAGAATCTAAATTATAAATTTTTGTTCATTACTGAACATCAGCTTTGTGGTTTCGCCACAACTCATGGTGAGTAAAGACCTTTTTTGGCACGCCTTCGACGTTCAAAGTCAAAGTTATTAAAATTTCGTGTTTGTTATAAATTAGTAGATTAAATAGAGAAAGTATATTGTTTTTCTTTATAGGATAGGGTGACAAACGAGCACACAGTCCACCTGATGGTAGGTGGTTGCTGTGACCCATAAACATCTACATTTATCCTCAATAAAAAAGCAAAACGCAGATGCGTCGTGACCCGTGAGGACTAAGATGAAATGCCTCTTTTCCAGTAAAATGGGTCTCCGGTTCTCTACACTCACCATACGAAACACAGCAGTGTCAAGCTGCCATTTGACGCTGGTATTCTGTGAGAGCGTGGTCCTTCCCCGGCCGAGCCGACCCATTCGTAATACAACTATACTACTAATAGTTGCAGCATGGCTCTACCACGTATTCAATATAAATTATTATGAATAACTCAAAAATTATGGGTCTGACCCATAATTTTGATTTTAACACATGCGTCAAACTCCAAACGAGACTAATAGACGTAGGTATTTATAGGTAGAAAATAAGCCCTGTCAACTAGTACCCAAAATCTTAATAGCTACCAACCAAATAAGTTTAATTATTATGATATATAATTTAAAGAATTATTATGAGTAAAGAGGTAGCACACAAAAAAAAACATACAGTCGAATTAAGAACCGTCTCGTTTTTGGAAGTCGGCAGAAAATAAATCAAAATTTGCATTTTACTACTTCTGTGAGTACAACAAAACATCTTACTTTATTTGTATTCGGTATTCGGGCGAATAGGATAAAAGTTGTCGAATAGGCCGAATACCGAATAATAGTCGAATATTCGTTGCTAGTCTATTTTTTATTAAAGGTTAGTTTTCTGCCGACTTCCAAAAAGGAGACGGTACTCAATTCGAGGATATGTTTTTTTATGTGTGTTACCTCATAACTTTTTACTGGGTGAACCGATTTCGATGATTCTTTTTTTATTTGAAATCTGGTACTTCTCGTGTAGTCCCATATGAATTTGATCAAGGTCAGACCAATAGTTTTTGAGTTATTCTTAAATAACTTATATTGAAGTCGGCTGTACAAAATTTTTAGTTTTAAATTATTATTCTTCAAATGACGAAGATATCGCTAATAAGAAACATACAGTCGAATTGTAAGTCTTTCCCCTACGATTACGCCATTAAATAAAAGGCTCGCCAGTAAAAACTGACAAACAGGAAAATTACAATCATAATTATCTACAAATACTCTGTACAGCGTGTACCTACATTGTTACATCTGTTTGTCATGCTATTACACACGTCGCATGCAAAACTATGTACTTACTGAATAGGTATGTTAAACTGACAAATGTTAAGTACATTTGTCAACGGGTGGCTAGCAACGTACAACACAGATGATATTAATTTGAAGATAAAGATGATATGCATTTTAATTTACTACGATTTCATAGGTTTTAATTTTTTTGCGTAGAACCCTAATTCTTTTTCTAAAACAAGTGGCCTACGTTACTCCTTATAACATTATTTATCTGCCAGTGAATGTCCCGTCAAAATCGGTCCAGCCGTTTCGGAGATTAGCCGGAACAAACAGACAGGCAGACAAAAAATTTAAAATAGTTTTTTGTTATTGGTACCGTACATATGCATTTAGTAAAAAGCTGTTATTTTAACATTACAAACAGACACTTCAATTTTATTTATTTGTATATAATAATAAATAATAATAGATTAAGCCATTGTTTCCTAGACAGCGATGTCATCAAGACGTTTTTAGTTGTCTTTGAGTGTCGTTTTCTATGGTCGGTCGGCTGATAATTCAGTGCCTGATTTAGGCTGAGATCTATAGATCGTACTTTGACTTTGCTCAGACTAAGCTTACGACAAACTTAGCTGAGTATATGCTCAGCATAATCTTTGATTCCGAATTTATAGTTGTATCGGGCTTAGGGTTACCAGATGAAAAAATTAAAAGTCCGGAGAAGAGGCCTGATTTCCATTTAAAAATCCTGAGATTTTTTTACAGTTTGAGAAGAAAACCTTATTTAAAAAGGTATCTTCACATATTAAGTATGATAAAACTGATTAAGTACCTACTAGGATAAATAAGTTTTGATTTTAATTGCGGAATTATTACCAAAGGAAGATTATTTTTAGTTTGTTTAACTTTTTTATTAAAGAGATCTTTAAAATGTAAGCTGTATTACATTGAAAGTTCTAAATATCCTGAGATTTCATGAGATTTGCAAAATCCAGCCGCAATCCTGAGAAGAGTCGAAAAATCCTGAGATATGGTAACCCTAATCGGGCTAAGATTAAGCTAAGCTTATGCTAAAGCCCAGACAGTCCAAATATTAATGGATGCTTCATTCCACGCATTATGTTTTTGACTTTACTGTATTACATTAAATAATATATACATATTAAAAATCAAAATTACCGTATAAAATTAAATAAATATATATTTAAAATCGAAAAACGTCCAAATTATATTTCATAAATTATTTATTATTACATTAAATAGAAAAGGTCGTATGAGAATGGGAACGGATGAGATGAGTGCAAAGCATAGATTACCTCCGTGCAAAGTCAGAAAAAAGGACAAAAATAAGATTTGAAGAAATTCGAAATAAGATTGAAATTACGTAAATAGAAAGTGGATTAGTGCTATTTAAAATTAGAAGACGGCTTAAAACTACCTATTTATTGTTTTAATTAATTAGAGAAACATATAAACAACAATTTAAAATTAATACGGTGGTTTTGAATAATATCCTGAGTTTTACGTAAGTCGTCGATATCGTTGACTTAGGCTTTGCTAAGCGCGCACTCCGCACGACTTCGAAGTTAGCTCTATAAATACCTACATTATCTTAGCTCGAAAGTAAAGTCTGAGCAAATTCAAAGTACGGTCTATAGATCTCAGCCTTAGAGTTCCCACAGATATGAGGCTAACTATGAATATGCATCCCTCCACCGGCCTGTTCTCTGTGCCGTGCCCACCCTACGAATATATTTACTTAACTTTTAAATATTACTATCTTTCCGCCCACATTAAATCAAATTTTCCTGATGACTACTGCCGCCCATGAACAACTGCAACATCAGCGTCGAGTGGGCCTGACGGAATCCCCCCAATTGTGCTGAGGACGTGTGCTCCGGAGTTGGCACCGGTCCTAACACGTCTTTTCCGGTACTCCTTTTCCCAAGACGTAGTCCCGAATTCATGGAAGACAGCTTTTGTCCACCCGATCCCTAAAAAAGGCGACCGCCCAGACCCGTCCAACTATAGGCCTATCGCGATCACCTCCTTGTTCTCCAAAATAATGGAATCCATTATTAACTGCCAGCTCATCCGGTACCTTGAGGATCACCAGCTGATTAGTGACCGCCAATACGGTTTTCGTCGGGGTCGATCAGCTGGTGATCTTCTGGTCTACCTGACCCGTTGGCCGTTAGTCTGGACATTGCGAAGGCCTTCGATCGGGTTTGGCACAAAGCGCTCCTTTCAAAGCTCCCTTCCTATGGGCTTCCCGAGAAATTGTACAATTGGATCACCAGCTTCCTTGCAGATCGGAGCATCAAGGTCGTTGTAGACGGTGCATGTTCTGACTACAAGCCTATTAACGCTGGTGTTCCACAAGACTATGTGCTATCACCAACGCTGTTTCTTCTGCATATCAATGATATGTTGCTAACTGGTAACATTCATTGCTATGCGGATGACAGCACTGGTGATGCGCTATACACCGGCCGTGCCAATATTTCTCGGGAAAACGTCGCCGAGTACCGGAACAAACTTGTGTCTGAAGTCGAGTCTTTGCTGAACAAAATCTCGGATTGGAGGCGACTAAATCTAGTCCAGTTTAATCCTCAGAAGACACAAGTTTGCGCGTTTACCGCTAAAAAGAACCCCTTTGTCGTATCTCCTCAGTTTCAAGGCACTCCCCTTCTTGCCTCAGCCAGTATCGGTATCCTCGGAGTCGACATATCGAGTGACGTGCAGTTTCGTGGTCACTTGGAAGAGAAGGCCAAATTGGCCTCTAAAAAGCTTGGCGTGATCAGCAGAGCGAGACAGTATTTCATGCCGGCACACCGCCTGCAACTTTACAAGGCGCAGGTTCGGCCTCACATGGAATACTGTTCCCATCTCTGGGCAGGGGCTCCCCAGTGCCAGCTCCTTCTACTTGACCGCATCCAGCGCAGAGCGGCTCGAATCGTTGACGACCGAGCCCTTTCCGATCGGCTCGATTCATTGGCACTGCGAATAGATGTTGCATCCCTTTGCATTTTCTTTCGCATCTACCATGGGGAGTGCTCTGAGGAATTGTTCGGATTAATCCCAGCCGCCAAATTTCACGAACGCACATCGCGGCAGAACTCCCGATACCATCCACACCATCTGGATGATTGGCGGTCCACCACTGTGCGATTTAGAAGATGTTTTCTTCCTCGCACGATTTCCTTGTGGAATCGATTACCATCAGCGATTTTTCCGGACCGATACGACGTAGGTACCTTCAAGAAAAGAGCATACTCCTTTTTAAAAGGCCGGCAACGTATCTGCAATTCCCTCCCTGGTGTTGCAGTTGTTCATGGGCGGCGGTAGGCACTTACCATCAGGTGAGCCGCATGCTCGTTTGCC